CTGCGCTCACTCGAGGGGGTCGCTGAAGTTTTCAGCGGGAATGCGCGCCGTCTTCTTGCCCTTACCGAAGAAACGCCTCTTCTTGGCCGGCGATCTCGTGGCCGAATCCTCGCTCGCCTTGCACTTGGAGTGCTTCTTGAGCTTGAGCGAAGCTAAATCATTGCTGAAGGTCTGCGAGCTCGGAGAAGAAGGGAGGATCACCTCGGGACCCCGGAGAGTGGCCGTCGCATCTCCGTCGAGGAAGTCCTGTGCCAACTGCTGTAGATGCTCCGACGACTGCGGGCTACCACCGAGACGCGCGATCAAGTCGCTGAGGAACGCCTCGTTGAGAGCCCGAGCGTCACTACCGAGCGTGCCAAGCTCGTCCTGTTCTAGGGCCGCGTCGAGAAACTGACGGGCCTTCTTCCGCTCAGTGGAGGTAAACTGAGACGACATGGCGAGGAAGCGAGATGACGGACAAAGCGATGTGCTGTCTAGAAAGGAGATTGGGAAGTGAGAGGCTACAGGGGTGAAGTTTCAGCTTAATGGCTGACTCCGGAGTACGTACGGGCTGCGTCCCTGGGAAGTAGCGTCGAGAAGGAACGGTCTGATGGAAAGTGGCTCAGGAAGGAACGGTCGACCTTTCAGAGAATGGGGGGGTTGCCACTTGAAGATCGTCAGGACTGATGAATAATTCGGCTGCATGACTGGAGGTGACGACTCCGTTAGCGAAGACTGAAGATGGCGTCGAGCTAAGGCTTGTGGGCAGTGCTGTAATTGGCATCATGATGTGGGTGGTAACCACGTCGTTGCGGAGCGTCTCGTGGGCGTTCTCAGCGGGCCTAGGGCGTAACGTTCAAGTGGTCTACGTCTTCCTTAACACGTGTGGTGATCGGTTCGTTGGAGCTGCCCGCGATGCGCACGCTCTCGCCTTGCCTTCCTCGGAGCTCGCGACCTCCCTGTTGACTCTGGCTTTCTCGATACCGATGGCTGTGCTAAGGGACTAAGAGGTACGCTTTGGGATTGCGGGGCGTCTCTGCTTGCAGTGGCGCGAGGCGTTCCATCATTCCTGGTGTCTATTCTTGCCTGGGGCGGTGCGGCTACTGTGGACGGCTACCGGGCTGCTACGAGGGAGGCTACCGCTGCTGTTGCTGACAGAGTGGGTGACATCGTCGTATGTGGATATCTATTGACGACGCTGCTGCTGTCTATCCTGATCTACGTACCGCGGCTGGTGTATGAAGTACCGAAGGGGTGCTCCATGGCTGGATGGGCGTGGCTATGGTAGTGCTGATCGTGGACTTTTCATGGAGTTCTCTACGTGTTGTTGCTATTGGAACGCCTCTCTGCTGATGGCCGGCTGTTACAGTCATTTGGTTCACAGCTACTGGCGGCTTCGTATTGATAAAGAACGAGGACCAAGCGTGAGGGATAAGCAAGGCTGGGAAGGGCTCGCTGGGCGAGTTGGGCGACGCGAAGAGCGCGAGCGTGTCAGCGTGGAACGATTGCGAAGAATCAAGAGTAAAGGGACGCCTTCCTTGGTCGAGAACGCGAGTCCTGCTCCGATTGGAACGCCTCCGAAGGGCGTTCCAGCTGATGTGGCTAACGGTACCGTGGAACCCGTGTCGGGCAAGGAGGCTCGGCGAGACACGAGTGTAGTCGGGGAGATTGTCACGTACACAGCTATAGTGACTGCATCTCTCGGCTGCGTCGGAATTTGCTTGTGAGAGCGAGCA